GTATCTGTCCAAATGTAAAGTCTCAATTAAGTACAGTTTTTAAAGGCTTACATCGTACTCAGGATGTACCAATATGTCTGTCATCTCCAAGACCAATGTATAAGGTGGTTGATAGTATGGTTCAGTTAAAGGGTCAGGCAATAATTTGGGGCTGATTGGATCGGAGAAGTACTGAAAGAACGTAAAACGTTATTTTAATCCTTGCCAAATGCAAATTACAATCCGTACTTCAATAAAGTATATTCCGATCAAAGCTATGCACGACTAGATTTAAAATTAGCCACTAAGATACGAATTTCGATTATAATTATTATTGCGAAGCAAATTGTATCATTCCTAGTAAAATCATATTGAGATGGTCTATCTTGAGCTGACGATACTGGAATACTATACCTTATAGTAAATCGCTTACCTTGATAGAGTTCCTAAGTCTATCTTTTGCGCGATAAATGTAAGCCAAAGCAATGTTTTCTATTTATAGGTCATGATATAATAAAATTACTTCAAGGTAATTATAATTATGTAGAGTATGAGCTAGAGGATACTGCAATAGGCATTTGCGCGTCATTATTTATGTAATAAAAGTTTACTGTAGCTATTTCTAAATTCTGAAATATATATTACTATAAAATTGCCAACTTGCCACAAATTGCTTGATATTATAACAGTAGCTATATTATACGATGCCAGAAATATTGCTACTATAGCACTTACTATGATCATAATTATCAATGTCCTGTAGATTTAACAAATAGATAGAGATTAGAGATGAGCAACGATTGACTTGTAGATATAACACTTATATATCTATATCTATACATTAATTATAATTATTAGTATTGATGTATAGTTTGGGCAAAAGCAGTAACACTAAAAAGGAGTAAAGTTTACCTCCTCTGGTTCCTTCGATGGAGCCCCTAGTTGAGTAAGTATGAATCGACATAAATGCTATGAGAATGACTCTTTGATATAACTATATTCATCATCACGTTAAATAAGTCAACCTAAATCTACAGTAGATGCCAAAACTACTACATCCACTACCTGCGAAAATGATTCCAGCAACACCAATGCCTACGGTTGTGCCAGCAAAGATTACCCATCCACGAATGCTCGGTCCTCCTTTCTTTTTTTCAGGCCGCTTGTAATACGTACGCGTTCGGTTAGGACGTAACGAATGCAAGCTCCATTTGTTTTCTTCCGCTCTCAGCTGGTACAAGTATCTTCTACAGCCTTTCAGTAGCGTTGAATACATACCAATATTAAATGGTCTACTTTTTAAAATCGACATCATGATGATCCAACGTGATGTCTGGCCTAAGGAAAGTGCAGCTAGGTATACAGCCTAGTAAAATCTTGCATTGCAGTGCTCTGGTCTGCCCTGTCATGTGCACACCAGAGCCCTGTGCAGTTAGTCCGCGGTGCAGTTTACAGTACAGTACAGTATGGACGGTACTGTGCAATACATGCACAATACACTATACAGTACTGTACTGGACAGTGTGCAGTAGCGTGCTAGGCCCCCATACGGTGCTGATCATCAGATTCATGTTGTAAGTAAAGTCATGGACTACTACAAGTCCAGTTAAGTTTTAAAA